AAACGAGAAAGATGGTTTCCTTTGAAACAAAAGCCCGAGAGTACAGTCATAATCCATACTGTACGTCCGAGACGTACGGTCTTGGTGTTAGTGTAGAGTTTCGTTTGTGGGCACTATTTCATTTTGGACTTATTCATCAAGGTACACAAAGAGGTTCGTCAAGCGCGACGATTGGCTCGTTCGAGTCGACCAAACGACACGAGACTTGATTCTGTCCGCAGCACTGATTTTAGGAAGTAGGCCACTCTATATCAGTTCTTTTATGGTTAACACTAATCGGAATTCAGTTCTTTCCTACCAAACGCCCCCAGCACTTTTTTTTTTTCCATTGAAAAGAAGAGTTAAGGGACATACAAAAGTATATAGCCGTATATATAGCGTCCCCTTTTTTTAGGTGTTACCAGGCATAAAAGGTCTATAAACACGTTGTATGTGCGGGGTGTGTTGTGTTTGTGTGGTGGGATTAATATACTCTTACATAATCGTCCCTCCGAGGTAGCCGTCGTCTGGGGTCTCTCAAAAGAGAAAAAAGAGTTTGTGTCTCCCTGATGTTATGAGTAAGTCTTGTTTTGAGGGTTGTCGACACCTCCTCAGTAATTCCCTACAGTGTATTAAGTTTGATAAATTATGACAGTTACGTTGTCAGATTATGGACTACACTAATAACGAACTTTCCGTAAGGACAAAAGAAACCATTTACAATAATAAAGAATTATTACTGTACGTAAAAAAAATTTACAACTTATTATCTGGAAACTTTTGGTAACAAATATGTATAATTCATCCTTTTAGTGAGATTGTCGACCGATAACTGAAATAATCCTACCAAATGTTAGGTTCTGCTAGGGTCCTCTTTACTGAAACGTCACAAGTACAATTAATAGTCGGACTCAAGACTAACCGGACACTCCCTTTGTACTGTGGCCCAACTGTGCGAGTAAAAAGATGTGTTACTAATTTTTTATTTTCGCTGTTAGTATTCTACTCTGTTATTAATATGAAGAATTGCAAGTACAATAGAGAAGAAGTTTTCGATCTGTAAATCGCCGGTGCAGGTGTGCCTTTGCTTTTGCTTGGCTCCAGCTATAGTTCTTTTCATAAGGTAGGTCTGCCTTAGCCGTGGGTCTTTATAAAGGCAGATGTGGCTCTGACGAGTGGGACGACCTCTTCGACCTCTGTATACGGCCCGGACATTCACCGGCGACATGAAGGCGGTGTTTTATGTGGTTTTCGTCGCTTTTCTGGGGGCTCGTACCAACGGTACCAACGGACCACGGGGAGACAAATAAGACGGCGCCACCTAAAATCGTTGTACATCAGTACATCAGAGGTAAGTGAACGACGACTTACCACACCATCTCCCTCGAATTTAACTTGATTGTAGACATCGTAGCCGGTCATGCAGACTGTGCTTTAGTTGGGACACTAGGGGCGCTAACAACAACAACTGTTTTGTGTAGCCCCCACTTGTCGTCTCACCCCTCTCCGCCCCGATACCGCAGTAGCAATAGGCCATTATAGCATATCCGCATGGGTGTGCTCAAACGTGGGGGTCCTCGCAAAGTAGACGTCGTAGATGAGTGGAAACGCCTTGGCAATAGCATAGGCCAAGGCCAGCCGGAGCACCCTGCTCGGCAGATATGCTATCTCTTGACATATCTGGGAGGTCTTTTTTGCGCCCGTTTTTAGGAACTAATACGCCCGACTTTTAAGGAACTAAATACGCTAATTTCGTCGTCCCAAAATCACTAAAATACGCCGCACTTTACGCTTTATAGCCTTTCAAGCTTATACGGGGATTTATACGCCCCCTTTTCTTATTGGTAAAAAAAATTTATAACCCGACAGAATAAAATAAGAGTAGAGTGTGTGCTTGGACGGTGATTGCAATTTGGGGGAAATATAAGGGTTAATTGTGTGAAGTTACAATAATAAACTTTTCGTCACCCGATAAAATTAGGTGTGCTGTGTGTGTGTTGTGTTCGTGGCCGGGTGTGTGTTGTGTCCGGGTGGGGGGGTGTGTGTGTGTGTGTTGAAGAGGCGGAGTAAGCACAAAAGTAAATGGCATAGCAAAGCTCGGTCGAAGTTACAGACATCCGATGAGGTGAAGCAAAAACATCGGGAGTGCTTTCACAAAACCTCCAACTAGGGCATGACGTGTTTGAGTCCACGCGATGTGAATATCGCACATGCGCATGTCGCGATTATCGTCACGACACGATATATCGTGCAGCCCTAGTGTGTATTAATTTACACTTAGAGTATATTTTTCAATAGACAGGGACTTTTTGGACTTACAT